TTGAAGATGGCCAGTCTCATCAATGAACTGTGAGTCCATGAAAATGAGAATAAAGGCTTCTAAGAGAAGGGGAGGCCATCAGCACAGAGATGTCATATACTTGGAGGAAATGGAAGCAGAAGTGGTAGCCAACAGAGGCCACAAAACACACACTGGACCTGGAGAGAGGCAGCCCGCCTGGGAAACCCTACATACCCTGGAAAAACCCCCACTGGCTCACAGATTTCAAGGAGCATAATGGTGAGAACTTTCTGTATGCAGGGCCTGAGACAGAAGAATCATCTAAAATCTAGATATTAAACAGTGTATTGGTAATATATTAAATAATACACAGAAATCCCTGATCTCAGGACAATCCTGCCACCAAGTGAAGGGATGAAGGGAAGGGAAGGGAAAGGAAGGGAAGGGAGATGAGGGGGAAGGGAGGGGGGAGGAAAAGAGATAGGAAAGAGGAAGAAATCAAGTGAACTGGAAAGAACGAATGAAGGCAGAGAGGGTGGGAGGGAGGGGAGAAGGAAATTGATGGAGGGCAACAGGGAAGAAGGTAGGAGGATGGAGGATGGGGAAATTGAGGCTATAGGAATGGAGGATGGAGATTGGAGGTTGGAAATCAGAAGTTTGAGGATGGAGGTAGGGGAAGAAAGGAAAGTGAAAGGGATGGAGGAAGAAACAACTGGTATAAGAGAGGAGGATACAGTTTGGAGGAGAGGGTTAGAGGATGGGAGTTGGTGGGTGGAAGTTGGAAGGTGGAGGTCAGAGGATGGAAGTTGGAGGTTAGAGGTTGATGGATGGCGGTTGGAAGATGAAAGATGAGAGGGAAAGATCAAAGGAGAGAAGGAGGCTTGAGTTTGGAAGATGGGGTTCTTGGGGCTGGGAAGGTGGCTCAATTGTAGAGTGCTTGCCTTGCATGCATGAGGCCCTGGGTACAATTCCTCAGCACCACATAAACAGAAAAAGCTGGAAGTGGCACTGTGGCTTAAGTGGTAGAGCACTAGCCTTGAGCTGAAGAGCTGAGGGACAGCGCCCAGGCCCAGAGTTGAGGCCCCACAACCAATTTTTTAAAAAAGATTAAAAAATGGGGTTCTTATATGTGCCTGTGGTTGGTTGGGTGCCTAATCATTTCCAGGTAACAAAAATGAAGAGAAATGTGCACCATCAGTTGCAAACACCCCAAGTAAAAGAGATCCTGAGGGAGACGGGGGGAGGGAGGGAGCAGCCAGAATCCTGGGAACTGGAAGCCACCTTCTCCTAAACAAGGCCACAGATGGTGGCTCTACACCACCAGGGCAAATGAGTAAGGACAGGCCTAAAATCGAAATTCCCTTCTCTTCTTTCCTCAGAGCGGAGGTGAGGAACATTTTCTGGGGAATCTGGAAAATGACAACTTCTAGCCTGCTGCAAACATCTATGGAGTGAAGGATGTAGTAAATTATGCCAACAGTGCCATCTGCCAGGCACAAAGTAGATTGCACAGACTTGTCCGGAGACAAGGGAGCAATAGGCTATGGCCTTCACACACTCACACACACACTCACACAGACACACTGGCCTTCACACAGACACACACAAATACACACATATACACATAGCACACACAACAATATATTCATACATACACATATTTGTACATCCACATGCATACACAATACACACCCATATGAACATACATGTGCACATGATGCACACATGCATGAACAATGCATACAACACAAATGCATGCATGCACATGAGACACGTGCATGTGAACATACACATGTATGTACACAATACATACAACACAAATGCACACAAACACACAAATACACAGATACGCATGCATTTACACACACAAGCCTGTACAATTAGGAAAATTATGAGTTGCAACACTTTTCTGGTGGCGATTTTCTTCTCAGTGCACCTGCTATGGCAAATCACACTTCAAGCACCAGTTCAGTGATTGTGTACCTTAAGACATACCACCACTTACTGCTCCCGTTTCCCCTAGGCTCACCCTCAAGGTTGGTGGTTGATTTAATTCATCACTAAAACAGAACACATATGATATCAGGTATGACTCATAGTTACTGAGGACACTTACTGATGAACAGATTCCATGTTGGGCAAATGGGGGCCAATTGTCTCTGCGTACAGGCAACCACCCACAATAATCTCCTAAACACTGAGTATTTTAAAAATAGCTAGCACACCACCAAAACAGCTAACATAAGTGTATGTTCTTTCCCTCTTGCCTCCAACTGGCCACACAAAAAACATTATATACCTTGATTTCTTCAGTAAATGTATATGTTTAGAAGACCTTTAGTAGCATGCATGAAAAGCTTTACTGGTGTGTATAATATTCCATTATTTACATTTATTATAGTTTAAACAGCCCTATACTCATGGGCACTTAGATTATTGGCAATCTTTTGCTAAAAATGCATTTATGTAATAAATGTGTTGGTGAAGGGTAGAATGAATGCCCAGAGGGCTACACTAAGTCAGATGATAAGACCATTTGGGGCTTTGGTAAACATTGCCAAACTATTTCCCCCATCCCAGGGCTGGACAGCTTCCCATTTTTCTAGGCCATCTGTGATCTTCTAGCTCATCACAGCACCAACAACTGTGGATGGCCCAAGTCTGAGACTTTTAAGAAAGGGATTGTGGAACTTGGACACATACCTCGTTCTTAGAAACAAGCTCACACAGCTTTTCATATATTGTGGGACAATTTAGTTTCTTGTTCTGAGAACTTCTTTGTTTCCTTCACCATCTACTGCTTTCATCTTTTTTACTTTCTAGATGGTATGTATATACCAAGGAGATAGGAAATGAGCTCTGTTGTATGACCTGCAAATATTTAGCCTGGTTTTTCTTTTTTCTTTTTGTACCAATCCTGGGGTTTGAACTGAGGACCTGGGTTCTGTCCTGAGCTTTGTTGCTTAAGGCTAGCACTCTGTCACTTGATTCACACATCCGCTTCCGACTTATTGGGTACTTAATTGAAGAGTCTCACAGACTTTACTGCCTGGGATGGCTTCAAACCAAGATCCTCAGATCTCAGCCTCCTGAGTAGCTAGGATTACAGGGTAGGGGAGGGTGCCACCAGACTTCTTGTGTCTTTGAAATGTTCTGATCATTGGTGGTGGTGTCTGGTCTTTGCCACACATTTTCTCCCCTCCTTCCTTCTCTCCTTTCCTTAGTAGTGCAAAGTTTTAAGTATTAAAAAAAATAACCATTTTTCCAGGCACTAGAGTGGCTCAAACCTATAATGCTCACTATTTGTGGTGAAGAACTGGTATTCAAGACAAGCTCCAGCAGAAAAGTTCTGGGGGAAGAAGAAAAAGGAAGTAGAGGGAAGACAGGAGAAAAAAGAACCAGGAAAGGAAGGGAGGGAAGGGGGGGAGGAGGGGAGGGGAGGGGAATCCAATCTTATCTTTTTCCTAATGGTTGTACATTTATGAGGCTTTTGAGCCATTTATTTAAAAAAAAAGAGAGAGGAAACTCCATTTTTGCATGGCAAATGAAGACATGCTTATCCTATCTTAAATGGGCAAATTTATTTGTTCCCATCTGTAGCCATCCCTGTGCTTTTGCATTGTTTCAACTACTTGTTTTATTGTTGCTTTAATATGTGTAATCATACTTCCCCACTGACTTCTGCATTCTTTTAACTACTCATTTTATTGTCAACTTAATGTGTGTGAAGAGAACTTCCCCATTGCTGTCATTCCGTTTTACTAACACTTATTCTTGCTCATAAAATGTACGATCAGCTTATCTAGTTCCGAAAAAGCTTACTAATTTAACAGTAAATTCACAAGAGCTAGGCAGGCACAGGTTTTACAAGCCAGAAAGATAAATGAAAGGTAAATGAACAATTCTTTTGAATGATAGCAATAAATAATCCAATATATCTAAAGGCAGTGAGCTGTTTATTAAAATAGGACACACTGGTGACTCGCACCTATAATCCTACTCAGGAAGATGAGATCGGAGGATAGTGGTTTGAAGCCAGGCAGGGCAAGAAAGTCTGTGACATTCTTATCTCCATTTAGCCACCCAAAAAAAAGCAGGAAGTAGAGCTGTGGCTGAAGCACTAGAATGCTAGCCTTGCACACAAAAGCTTAAGGACATCATCCAGGCCTTGAGTTGAAACCCCCAGACAGGCACCAAAGAAGGAAGGAAGGAAGGAAGGAAGGAAGGAAGGAAGGAAGGAAGGAAGGAAGGAAGGAAGGAAGGAAGGAAGGAAGGAAGGAAGGAAGGAAGGAAGGAAGGAAGGAAGGAAGGAAGGAAGGAAGGAAGGAAGGAAGGCGGTATTTTTATTCAAAGAATGTGGTAGATGGTAACTAGGAAAAAGAACAAGTTTCTAACAAGTATGAAAAAAGATGGAGCTCTGATTGTCCAGGTTAAACGTTACATCTGGCTTTCCTCCCCCACAGCAAGCACTGTGCTACTTTTGCTAGTCCCCAGGTGAGGGGCTGCAGACTAGAAGCTTTGGCCCTCATCCATCACTCCTCACAGGGAAAATGCAAGTGTGTGAACTGCATTTCTATGGCCCAAAACACCACCGCAAATTCACCTCTCAGCTGACTCTGCTGCCAACTGGCTTGAAAAACAAAATTATTGCCAGGTGCCTGTGCTCACATCTGTAATCCCAGCTGAGATCTGAGGATCTTGGTTTGAAGCCAATGGAATCAGACAAATCTTGAGAGTCTTATTTTCCAGTTAACAAACAGAAAGATGGAAGCGGAGATATGGCTCAAAAGGTAAAGGACGGTGCCCAGCCCCTGAGTTCAAGCTCCAATACCAGACCAAAAAGAAAAAGAAGAGAAGGAAGAAACAAACACATCAAAAACAGTATCATTGTTAAATAAACCTTCTACACACACACATTTTTTGGGGGGGAGGAAGGGACTGTTTATTTGTCATTAATCTTTTGAATATAACTACCATTGCAGGTTTCAGGTAGTAATAAAACTTCCAAGGACTTCACAATTTCAAGGCTAACACAGTTATCAACTGAAAATAAATGAAGCTATTTATTATTTCTTTAAAAAAAAGCAAAAGCCGTCTGACCTCTTCTGGAAAATAACAAATCAAACATGAGGCCTAGTAATTTAAAGTACACTTCAAGACAACAAAAAAAGACAGAAAGACCCAGAAGGAAGGTCAGAGGGAAGCACCTCTAGGACAAGACTTGATGGCGGGTTTGGTCATTAGCTGGCGGCTGTGACTAAGGCAGGGTGCATCAGGCACTGGATATGAGAAGAGCGGCTGGCTGTGAGGCAGGCGGGTTGCAGCGAAGGCGAGGCATCCGAGGCTCCCCTGCGGCCCTCAGTCATCTTCTCCTCCACACAGGAGCAGCAGGGCTTTCTTATAGTCCCCAGAAGTGTCGCCCTGAAACCCCAATGTGCTCCGTTAACCTCCACCGGAAATGAAGGCACTAGGACATACCCCATGCCACACACACCCGTAGTCAAGGACTTTCTCCCAAATGCATCAACAGCTCTGTGCCACTTTCGCATGAACTTTGCAGCCAGAATAGGTAACATTTAACTTCCTCATTTCCAACCCCACCAAGGCACCATTCTCTCAAAGTCAATGAAGTCTGTTCTTCTGTCTCATAAGAGAACAGGGCAACTTTTATTTAAAAAAAAAAAACAAGCTAGGCGAGCACCCAGCCTCATCACACCACACAGACCGGAGCAGAGGCCGATGCTGGGAGCTGAGGTTTCAGCTGCGCCATACGCATGAATTCGCCACACAGTAATGCTCCTGTTCAAAGAGCATGGGCAATCCAGTGGCCTCTGCCACAAGATGCACCTTGAGTTAGATGCTTTAGCTCACATGAAATTCTGCATCACACTGACTCGCAGGAACCTTTATTCAAAAAAGTTGTCACAAGATTTCTGGCTAGCCAGGCACACTAGTGGCTCATGCCTAGAACCCTAGCTACTCAGGAAGCTGAGATGTGAGGATCAGGGTTCAAAGCCAGCCAGGGCAGGAAAGCTTATGAGACTCTGAACTCCAATTAAGCACCAAAAAAAGCCAGAAGTGGTGCTGTAACTCGAGTGGGAGAGCTAACTAACTTTAAGCACAAAAGTCCAGGGTCGTCACCCAGGCCCTGAGTTCAAGTGCCAGGACCAGCACAAATTAATATATATTTGTTTATATATATTTATATATGTGTATGTATACACATATATATATACATGTATGTACATGTATATGTATTGCCAAATTCAATCACTCTACTCTTAAAACTAAAAGGATCCTGTGTCCTTGGCTCCCTACCAACTCCAAACAGGACCTGGATGGTTCTTTTGTGAACTATGAGCCAACAGAGGTGCTGACAGGGTAAAAGAAAGGAAAATCTGATATGTGAAGTAACTAAATAAATAAAAATAGGAACTAATGGAGCTGGGACTGAAAAGGCAGATAAAAGTCCTCACGTGTGAGGACTTGAGTTCTGACATCCATCACCACCACTGAATAACACAGCTCGGTCATGCCAGGTCCCGGGCTGTCACTTCATCCTTGCTAAAGGGAACATTCAGGAAGGGTCAGAATGCCCAGCTCTAACCACACCACTGAAGTTTTACTTTAACTCCAAAGTGGGATCACACACAAACACACACGCATGCGCACTCACTTGCACACACACACACACACACACACACACACACACACACACACACACCTTGCACATGTCTCTATTAGTCTATACACATTTCAAAAGAGAACTTCAAAAAAGGATCGACCACCACCTTAATCATGGAGTAAAGAGAAGTGGCGAAGTTCTTCCTGAACTCCTTCCTGATGTTGAACAGGTCGATCTCGCTTCTGGATACCACGACTCTGATTAGGGTGTGGTCATCCGTCCCAGCGCCCTGAAAAGAGAAAAAGAGTACCACATGACCAGTTCAAACACAGCATTCACTGCTCCTGAGTTGGGGTCAGTCAGTCAAGTCAAATCAATTTGGTATAAGCGGGAGGCATTTTTTCTTTTGATCAGTGTGGGGCTTGAACTCTAGGCCTGGGCAGTGCCCCTCAACTCTTCAGCTCAAGGCTGGTACTCTACCACTTGAGCCATAGCACCACTTCCAGTTTTTCTGGTGCTTTATTGGAGGTAAGAGTCTCATGGACTTTCCTGCCCAGGCTGGCTTCAAACCACGATCCTCACAGATCTCAGCCTTCTAAGTAGCTAGGATTTTTTTTTTTTAAGAAAAGAAAAATTGCCAGGTGCCCATGGCTCATGTTTGTAATCCTAGCTACTCAGGAGGTTGATATCTGAGGATAGTGGTTCGAAGACAGCCCTGGCAGGATTACCTCCATAAACTACTCAAAAAAGCTGGACGTGGTGCTGCGGCTCAGTGGTAGAGTGCTTGCCTTGAACAAAAGAAGCTCAGGACAGTGCCCATGCCCAGAGTTCAAGCCCCAGGACCAGCAACAAAAGAAAAAGAAAGAAAGAAAAGAAAAAGAAAAACTGTCAGGTGCCAGTGACTCATGCCTGTAATGCTAGTTACTTAGGAGACTGAGGTCACAGTGCAAAGCTAGCTGGAGCCAAAAAGTCCACAAAACTCCTATCTCCAATTAACCAGCAAGCCAGAAGTGAAGGTGTGGATCAAGAGGTAGAGCACAGACTTGAGTGAAAAAGCCAAATGAGAAACATGGGTCCCAGAGCTCAAAACCCAGCAGCAAGAATAAATAAATGGAAAAAACTATCAAGATCTATTATCTAAAACATTAGAGACAGAGAGAGATAACTAGAAAAATAAAACTACCAGACAGAAGGATGAGCAATAATCACTTACCTTCATAGCGTAGTAGAGTGTCTCCGCAAGGTAGGCAGGTATGCTTCGAATGGATTTCACTAGGGAAGTAAACAAAGGTCAAATGCTACTGTCCATGAAAAGGATGAAGTCATTAAAAGTCAAATGCTGCCAGAACCCTGTGGCTCATGCCTACAACCCTAGCTACTCAGGAGGCTGATATCCGAAGATCACAGTTCAAAGCCAGCCTGGGGAGAAAAGTCCGTAAGAAGCTTATCTCCAATTAACCACCAAAAAGCCAGACATGGAGCTGTGGTTCAAGTGGCAGAGTGCCTGCCAGCCTTGAGTAAAAATGATCAGGGACAGCACCCAGGCCCTAGCGTCAAACTCCAGGACTAGCACCAAAAAAAACAAACAAACAAAAAAGCCTAACATGTCCTTAGTAAGGATTTTTTTTCCTTGTACCAGTATTGGCGCTTTCATACTCTTGCTTGCCTCTTTTGCTGGCAATCTAAGGCTAGCACTCTACCACTTGAGCCACACCTCCACTTGTGGCTTTTTCAAGTTAAATGGAGATGAGTCTCTTGTATTTTCATGCCCTTGCTGGCTTTGAACAGAGATCTTCAGATCTCAGCCTTCTGAGTAGCTAAGATTACGGGTGTGAGCCACCAGTGCCCAGCAACCGTAAAGTATTTAATTCACCTTAAAGATCCAATTTTATGTGCCTTGCAATTATGAAGGAACTAAGTTTTCTTGCTGAAATTCATCAACTGTTTGTTCAAATGAAAGGCTGCATTTTACACTGATTCCTTTAACAAACACAGCTTAAGATCAACACCGAATACTCAGAACAAACAAGTAAGCATGGCTCCCTTTAGACCCATGTGAACACCAAGACCCCAAGGATTTCAGACTACATTCCTCTTGGATTTGGAAAGTACATAAAACTACAATCACCAGCACAAACTCAGCTCTCCAATTCTCCCAGATTAGTCTGAATAGATCATTAAAATGCCACTTTAAATAATCTAATCTGAAAACAGTCGTCATTGCGTCTTTCTAACCCAATGATCATTTCTCAATCTGTCTCAAAGCGGTAAGGACGGTATTTGAAAGAATCCTGAAATCTCCATGTATTGGAACAGAGTGGAGAAGCCTCTAAGACAATATCCACAACATCCTGAGTTTGCGGGAAGCAGTGATTTTGTTGTTGTTGTTTTGGTCAGTCACAGGGCTTGAGCTCGGGGCCTGGGCACTGTCCCTGAACTTTTTTTGCTCAAGGCTTAGTGCTCTTCCACTTTGAACCACAGCACCACTTTGGGTTTTTGTGGTTAATTGGAGATAAAGAGTCTCAAGGAGTTTTCCAGCCTGGGCTGGCTTTGAACCTCCATTCTCAGATCTCAACATCCTCAGTAGCTAAGATTACAAGTCTGAGTCACCAGCACCTGACAATATTTTATGTACTTTTAATGTAACTTTGGGGCAATATTTTAAATCAGTCTTCTTGGTATAATGTAACTTTGGGGCAATATTTTAAATCAGTCTTCTTGGTATCTCCACATAATTAAACTAGCCAGACAGTCATGGATTTCCAATGTGAAAATAGATGTCTAAATCTGAAATTTTGAAGTTTTCTTCATCTAATAAAATCATGTCGTGCTCTCTTACTGCATAAAATTTTTCAATTCCTGTTACCATGAGAAGTACTACTATGTAGGAATTATGTGTATGATAAAATTGCCTACCAACAGCCAAGAGTAGTTGCTCCAAATTGCCAGAAGTCTCTCGGTCAATGGTTTCCTCAATCTGAAATCCTGATATAGTCATGTATTTGTCGAACACTAGGAATAAAAATTAAAGTGACTTTTAACAGCATACAAGGATCACTCTTTCCAGATAGAAGATTCTTCCTCTGCCCAAGTGTCGCCATGGCTGACACAATCTCCCTTCAGCCTTGTGCTCACACCCTCAATGAGCTAAAAATAAGAATTCCCCTTACTAGTTAGTTATCAACAATGAGACTGAAAAGCAGATCTGCTGACAGCAATTCTAAGAAGCCTTTCTTCTTCCTTATTAAACAATGTGAAGTTTAGAACAAGGAACCCTACTGTACTGTTGGTGGGAATGTAAACTAGTACAACCACTCTGGACAGCAGTCTGGAGGTTCCTCAAAAAAATACACAATGGAACTTTACACAGCCAATATAATGTCATTTACAGGGAAATGACCTAGAACAAATCATGTTCAGAGCTCAGAGACACAAATGGTGCACATTTTCTCTCAAATGTGGAAGCTAGATTTAAAATACACCGAAACATGATAAATTATACAGGTCTCTAGGCATCCACACACAATGAGATCAAAGGAAGATAGTCTTTGGAAGGGTCATAAAGGTACAACACCTATGTGCCTCTGAGCCTCTGATCATACAAAACAGTATTTACCAAAATGAACTCCTGGATATGAAAACGAGAAGTTTTTCTTTGTTGTTGTTTTTGTTTTCTTTTTGTCTTGCTCGGTTATCTGTGTTTTGGAGGGTGGAGGAGGAGCACAGAAATGGAGGGACAAAGGGTGGACGAGCGCAGTAGTGGTGCTACCAGACACTACGCATAAAATGAACTCTACAACCTGGGGCAAGGGCACAAGGGAAAAACTGGGAAGGATTAAGGGGAGGAGTGACATTGCCAGAAAGAAATGTACTCTTTACCTGACTTATGTAACTATAACCCACTATACATTACCTTCATAATAACAACAAAAAATAAAAAAACAGTATGAATACTTAACCTTTCTCTTCTCCCTGTGAAAATGGTTATACCTGAAGCTACACCAGCCATCTTGTGACAAGCATCAGAAAGGAGATCAGAAACACACAGAGAACCAAAGTCTTACCAAGTCGATCTTAGAATCCTGCGCACAGAAATAAGGGCCAGGCTTGAAAGCCACACTTAGGGTTTCCTGCCTGGACTCATTCTCACCTAGTAGCACGAGAACTGACAGCTGGCTAGAGGAAAGAGCTGAGCTTCCAGTCCAGGAAGAGCCAGTGTGCGTGTGGCAAGCCACTCTCCCATGACATGAGACCCTGAGCAAGTAGAGGCTTGACCTCCCTTACCGGCCTCGGATGGCAAAGGAGGACATAGGGTCTCTAATTTTGTAAAACTTACATATGGAGACATGAAATAAGTTACAAGATTTCTCCAGCTCACTAAATGGGGAAGGAAACAAACCTGATTCACTAAGTCCCACTAAGACAAGTAACTCCATGTTTTCTCTTATATGTAGAAGTTTAGGAGAGAAATAAAGATGAAGCCAGGTGCCATCATATAATCCTAGCTACTCAGGAGGCTGAGATGTGAGGATCATGGTTTGAAGCCAGCCAGGGCAGGAAAGTCTTTATCTTCAATGAATCACCAGAAAACTGGAAGTAGAGCTGTGGCTCAAAGTAGTAGAGCACTAGTCTTGAGGGAAAAAGCTCAAAAGTACACCACCAAGGCCCTGAATTCAAGCCCCATAAAGAAAGACAAAGAGAGAGAGGAGAGAGGAGAGAGAGAGACAGAGAGAGACAGAGAGGAGAGAGAGACAGAAAAAGAGGAGGGAGGGAGGGAGGGAAGGAGGGAAGAAGGAAGGAAGAAAGAGAGGGAGGGAGGGATAAAGAGAAAGAAAGGAAAGAGAGAAAAGAGAAAGAAAGAGAAAGAAAGAAAGAAAAAAGAAAGAAAGAGGAAGGAAGGAAGAAAGGAAGGAAGGAAGGAAGGAAGGAAGGAAGGAAGGCAGGCAGGCAGGCAGGCAAGCAAAAAAAAAAAGAAAGAAAGAAAGAAAGAAAGAAAGAAAGAAAAAGGAAGGAAGGAAGGAAGGAAGGAAGGAAAGAAAGGTGGATGAAGATGAAATAGATAAAATGAAACAAATGAGATGAAATGAAATAAAATGATTAAGGGGCAGTAGGGGTGAACAGGAAGAAAGCACACTGTGTGCATGTACGCCCCCTGTTCATGGATAATTAATGCAACACCAATTACAAAAGAAAGAAATGGATTCACTCGGTGCCTGCTAGGAAGCAGGGCTGTGTCATTCTGGCTGCTGTTTGTTAATTTACAGATGGACTTTTTTTTCACTCACCCCTTCTCAGATGAGACACACTCCGAGTTCCAAAGATGGTGATAAACTTCTCTTCATCTGTCCCCCACTTGAGCTCTCCAGCCTGGAACAAAGCCTGCAGAAATTTCAACTCCATCAAAATCATCCTTCCAACTCATTCCCAAGTGTTTAACTGCCCTAGGGTTTTGTTTTTAGTTCCTGACTAGTAAATCAATCCCTGTGAATCACACTGAGTCAAGGTAAACAGCCAGGCAGAGGTGCCAGGCCGGTGTTTACTCCTTACCTTTTAGAAGCCATGGGAGGGGTTGGGGAGCCATAGGAGAGATGAGGGTGTTCTGATTATCCCACTGCTTAACATCTACCTACAGACTAACTGGAAGCTAAGTTACCTGTGCTTTCCATTTTGCTTGGTCTACCACTATGCAATAGCACATGGCAAAAAATCAGTTCCCTATTTCTCCTGAAGACAGAGATTTAACCAAAACTAGAGGTGTAGCTTAGTGGTAACCTGCTTTCCACAAGGCCAAGGTTAGACCTGCAATGGAGGGAGGGAGGAGAAAAAGAGGGAGGGAGATGGGGAGGGAGGCTGGGAAGGGGGAGGAAGGAAGAGGGAGGGAGGGAAAAGGGCAAAGAAAGGGAAAGAGGAAGGGGAAGAGAGGGGAGGGGGAGATTCTCTATCCATGAAGCTTCTGGTAAAGAAGCATGAAGGCCTAGGAGTGAAACTCGCAGCCTGACTCCCTGGATTGAGGTGTGGCCAGCGCCCTCCCCTCCTCAGCTTCCACAGGGCAGGGCAGCAGTCAGCCCTGCAGGGTCACTAATGGAGGGCCCATAATTGCTGCAGTCTGGAACACTCAGTAGCAGGTGCCCGCAGACACGCCCTCTTCTTTCCTAATGGTCTGCCCTCCCTTCCAGGGGAAGCTGAAGATGAAGGATGTGGAAGGTAAGGAGATTTAACAAACAAAATACAAAATCAGTCTGAACACTTTAGTATGTTACAAAGTAAAAGGGATTTGGGACAAAAAACATTCCGTTCTCTAGAGAGTGACTCATCGGGGTTCAGCAGTTCCCAGAAATGGCAGAAATCTCAGGTAACCCCAGAGAAGATACTGAAAAGCTGAGGACAGGGTCCCAGAGGAACTTCAGCTAAGGATCTCAAGTCCTCATGGTGCTTCCCGCCCAGGTCCCTGAATGGGGTCTCAAAGGAGGTGCACCTCCCCCGTACCTCAGCGGACCAGTGTCTGCCAACTGGTAAATACATAGTGAAGGAAAGAAGCAATAATATCCAGTCAGTGTGACTCCTTCCCTGCTGCTCCTGGTCAGTAGACAGAGGAAAGCCCAGATCCCACTGAAGGGATATTGTGTGTGTGTGTGTGTGTGTGTGTGTGTGTGTGTGTGTGTGTGTGTGTGTGTGTGTGTGTGTGTGTGTGTGTGTGTGTGTGTGTGTGTGTGTGTGTGTGTGTGTGTGTGTGTGTGTGTGTGTGTGTCTGGCTGTCTGTGTGCCAGTAGTAAGGCTTGAACTCAGGGCCTCAGCACTGTCCCTACCTTTTTTCCTCAAGGCTAGTGCTCTACCATGTGAGCCACAGCTCCACTTCTGGCTTTTTGGTGATTAACTCTCATGAGATTTCCTTCCCCAGGCTGGCTTCAAACCTCAATTCCCCCATCTCAGCCTCCTGAGTCGCTAGTATACAGGCATGAGACATGAACCACTGGCACCTGCCTCAAGAATTTCTATGAACTTTCATCCCCGTACTGGCCAGGAACCTTGATTCCTTATCTCTGCCTCCCTCCTGGGATTACAGGCTTGAGGCACTGCCTGGCTCTACACTGGCCTCTTTATAAACCAGACTGAGATGATACTGGGGTATTCAGATCTCTTAAGTACAAATTTTCATTTGGGAATCACTAAAGCACAGCTCACAAAAGCTCAATAACATTAAGAGTTTTATCAAAGCAAATGGAGAGGTGTCCTAAGGCCAAAACATCTTGTCATCTCTTATGTAATGAAATACTACTTGCTATGAAACCCTCTCTTCTTTCTTATTCTTTCCTGCCAACAAACCTACTTTGCCATTAGCTGTGAAATCAATAAAACAATGTGGGGTTTTAGGTTTAAAAAAAATCTCTATTTTGTGAAAGTTCTATAATCACCAAAAAGAAAAGAACATGTCTAGGTGGAATTTGGTGTGTCATTTTGTTTATTTCATCTTAACATTCAGATTAAAAACTTTTTATGGGCCATATCTGAATGAAAAAAAATCTACTATGAGGGTCTCATGATTTGCAAAGGCCTCACACATTCAATTATCTCCACCTGCTCTAACCCTTGATTCCCCTTCCGTCTCTCTATGGTACTGAGGAACCACCAAGGCGACCGCACTCACCTGAGCATCCTGTTCTACCTGCGCCTCGTCGATGGCTGTATCGGGGTCTCTATTAGCCTATGAGAGACAAGAGATGCCATTGAATTGTGGTGCTTTTATTCCAAATGAAAACAGTTCCACCTGGTAGTTTTGTACATAAAGCTCTTTTCTCTTAGCAATCACATGCTGTATTAAGATCATATTACTCCTACAATATGCATTCTTTCACACAACACTGACCCAAACCAGTCTGGCCCTCCTGATTTAAAGACAATGAAAGAAGAGGTCAAATGCAATGAAAACAAGCACATGAGGTGCTATTAAAAGTTTAAGTCCAGAGTCAAGCACCAAGAGCCCACACTTATAATCTTAGCTACTCAGAAGGCTGAGATCTGAGGATCACAGTTCAAAGTCTGGGCAAGGAAGTCCTTGAGACTCTTCTTTCCAATTAACCACCACCAAAATAAAGTGTCAGAAGTGGAGCTATGGCTGAAGTAGTAGAGCACCAGCCTTGAGCAAAAAAAAGCTCAGGGACGGTGCCCAGACCCTGAGTTCAAGCCCCAAGACTGGCACCAGAAAAAAAAAAAAGTTTAGCTCAAGCACCTATCTATAGCAAGCACTGGACTCTGGGTTCAAACCTCAGCACCACACATACACACAAAAAAATTAGTAGGTCAGATATTCCAAAACATAAACAAGTACAGAAAATACCCAAATTCCTACCTAAGAGGAAGAATCTGCAAGAACCAGAAATTACGAAAAGAATTTTAAATGGCCTTAACCCAGTAAAAGCCAGGCCAGTCCAACTTCAGACCTTTTAATCCAACTACGATTAGCTCCACCCAATACCTGCAAGAGAACCACCAGCATCCTCTGGTAGTACCCCGAGGTGTCCCCCACCACGTCGTCCTCCAGGCTGGAGCCGTATTCTGCAACAGAATTGATGCACACTTATCCACAGCTTCTTCCACCCAGAACAGGATTAGGATTCCCTGCCCCATTCATCAAATGCAGGAGATGTAAGGGAAGAAACACTTGTGACATGATTATCGTAAATGTCCTCTCTTCCTTCTCTCAGTGATGCTCACAGACTGGAGAGACTAACTGGACAAAAACGAATTCAGGTCTCTTGCTGGGTGCCAGTGGTTCACACCTGTAATCCTAGCTATTCAAGAGGCTGAGATTTGAGGATCAAGGTTCAAAGCCAGCCCAGACAGGAAAGTTCATGAGACTCTTATCTCCAATTAACTACCAAAATGCCAGAATTGGAGCTGTGGCTCAAGTGATAGAGTGCAAGCCTGGAGCAAAAGAGCTCAGGGACAGCGCCCAGGCCCAGAGTTCAAGCCCCATTAGTGACACCACAAAAAAAAAATCATAAAGAGAAGCTTGTAACAAAGACTCAGAACTTTGGAAAGGTAATTATTTCATTGCTCTGACTTGATGGCTCTTTTCTAAATCAACAAATGAACACCAAGATAAAAGACTCTTTTTCCTAGCTAACAGCTGTCTGTAAGCATAGGTTGCTGACCAAGTAGACAAACCTATGAGAAATAGAGCAAGGCTGAGCGCAGGTAGCACACACCTGTAATCCTAGCTACTCAGGAGGCTGAGATTGAGGATCGCACTTTAAAACCAGGCTCAGGGAGGAAAGCCCATGAGACTTTTATCTCCATTTAACAAAAAAAAAAAATCTGGAAGTAGCTCTGTGGTTCAAGTAGTAGAGCACTGGTCTTCAGCCAAAAAGCTCAGGCGCTGAGTACAAGCCCCTGCACTCACACAAAAAAGAAAAGAAAAAGAAATCTAACAAGAACTTATGACAAGGAAATGAGAACTCTGCCTTCATCTTCATCTCATATGCTGATACTCCAGGCATAGGAACTCTAGGTTGAAAAATAAAACTTTCTACAAAACGTAAGGCCCACTAGGAAGAAAAATCAAATTTCGGGCTATTTTACTCAAGTACTGCTGTACCGCTAATTAAAACAATACACATTTGCTGAAAGTTGGGACTTGGGCATTGGCCCTGAACATTTTTGCTCAAGGCATCCTGTTTTCTGGTAGTTAGTTGAGATAGAGTCTCACAGACTTTCCTGCTCAGGCTGGCTTTGAACTTTGGTCCTCACATTTGGCCTCTCAGCTTCCTGAATAGCTGGAATTACAGGTATAAGCCTCCAGCAATCAGCTTACTGAAACATTTTTTAAATCAGCTATGATCTAGAAAAAAGCTTAGGTTTCTTTTCCTAGGTTCCCAAATGCTTATAACTCTTAACTTCTAATTTATAAAATTCAATTTATTTGAAGAAAAAACACTTATATTTATCTTCAATTAATATAAAAGAAAGGCAACCTGGATGTTCCTATAATAGCTGTAAATCCTATGCTGAAGCAAAACATCTTCAGCGTATTTTATAAACTAAACAAGTTGTAAATAAAATGTAGGGATTTGTTGTTGATCTTCTTTTTTGTTTTTTACTGAAGAATAAAAAAATACAAAGCTGGGCACTGGTAGCTCACACATGGTATCCTTGCTATTCAGGAGATTGAGATCTGAGAACTGAGGCTGCAAGCCAGCCTGACCAGACAAATCAGTACTAGCTGGAACTAGATGTATGGCTCAAGTGGTAGGGCACCAATTCTAAGAGAAAAAGATGCCAGACACAGATGGCTCACACCTGTAATCTTAGCTACTTAAGAGACTGATCTGAGGATCTCAGTTCAAAGCCAGCCCAGGCAAGAAAGTCCAGGCAACTCTTATCTCCAATGAACCACCTGAAAACCAGAAGTGGCACTGTAGTTCAAGTGGTAGAGCACTTGCCTTGAGTGCCCAGGCCCAGAGTTCAAGCCTCACCATCAACCAAAAAAAAGAGAGAGAGAGAGAGAGAAAGAGAGAGAAAGGTAAGCCAGAGCTCAGGCCCTTAGTTCAAGTCCCAGTACCGACATAAAAAGAAAAACAGCTTGAATTGTAGCTCATTCGTCTTTCATTCATTCATTCAACAATCACATATTGCTGACTTCTGGATCTATAAAACACTTCCTTCACATTAGAGGAAAAAGAGATGAAGTGAAAATAGGTTGAAATATAACCATGTACCTTCTTCATAAACCTGTTTGATGACTCTGAGTTGCTCAGGTGTCCTTGAAGCAATAATTTCTGTCAAAACTTTTTCATCTGTCCCAGCTCCCTGTTTGGAGATTTATTTTTAATCAAGAAAACATGTCAGATTAAAAAGAAAGTTGTTTCCTTAGATGTTACCCAAATTGTATAATTACATAAACATGGATGTATTTATATTTAAGTTCTATTCTTGTACCATATTAAGAAATTTCAAATTAATATTCTCTCCAAGGCCAATTTTATTCTATTTTACTTGACTTTGATTGTCATTTTGTCTAATGAAAAGAGAATATCTGTTTTGTTCTGTTCATACATGTGCATCCATGTATAATGCATACATACAGGTTAAATGAATGCACCATGCATAATTTGATTTGTCAATTCTAGTTTGAAAAGCAAAACATTTTGCCAGGATGAGCATGTCATTCTAGCTACTCAGGAGGCTGAAATCTGAAGATCATGGTTCAGAGCCAACCCAGGCAAGAAAGTCCGTGAGACTCTTATCTCCAATAAACTTCCAGAAAGTTGGAAGTGGAACTGTGGCTCAAGTAATAGAGTGCTAGAATTGAGGAGAAAAAAAAAATCTCAGAGCCAGCATCTGAGTTCAAGCCCCTAGGCCCGCACCAAAAAGAAAAAAAAAAGAACAAAAGAAAAAGGAAAATAAAACATTTCACTGAAAACTATGAAACAATAAAAAGCCTGAACTACAGTAAGTGTAAAAACTTTACATAAATTATCATGGGATGTAATCCTAGCTACTCAGGAGGCTGAGAACTGAGGATCATGGTTCAAAGCCAGCCCGGGCAGAAAAGTCCATGAGACTCTGATCTCCAATAAACCACTAGAAAAACGGAAGTTGTGCTGTGGCTCAAGAGATAGAGCACTGACTTGAGCTGAAGAGTTCAGGGACAGCATCCAGGCCCCGAGTTCAAGCCCCACGACTGACAAAAAAAAAATTATCATGGGAGATTATTAATATCTAAGCAATCTACTTAGAGAATAAACCCTGGTCCCACATTAAGCTCTGTAGGAGCCACAAAAAATATCCTGCTCCACAGGTGCAGCGTAGATCTTATACAACCCCTGAGGCCCTGGTGGTAAATAAAGTCTTGTGGCCTGAGGGCTGCTACTGGAGAACCTGGAACCTTTTAAGAGAAGGGGACTAGCAGGAAGTCCTGAAGTCACTGAAAACATGCCCTTGAGGGAGATCTTGACACCCCTTCCTCCTCCTTTGTTTCCTGGCCAGGAGAGTTCTGCTCCACCTCAGGATGTGCTGCCTGGCTACAGGCCCAGAGTAACAGAGCCAGTCAGTCATGGATGGAACCTCTAAAAGTGTCAACCACAACCTTCACTTATAAGTTGAGTATGGTAGGTCTCGGTTACAATAACGGAAAGATGCCAACCCCAGGTAACAATAAATATAACAGGCTTAGCTTTTAGGAATTGGGTCAGTACACTAGAACTTGCTTTCTGGGTTTATAAAACATAACTTGAGTTGATTTTTCCTGTGTCTGGTTCAAGAAGTTTTATCGACATTGTGAAATTAGAAATTACATCCAACAATATGACTGAACTTAATAGTTTTGGTTGTTTTAAAGATTGCATTTGGGAGCTGGAACACAGCTCAGTGGTAGAGTACTTGTCTAGAATGAATGAGGCTCTGGATTCCATCCTCAGCACTACAATATTTTTTTTAATTTAAAAGCTAGTACAATTTAAGCTTTATTTCTATTTCAAGTTGTTTACTAAAAATTAAGTACTAAAAAAAAGATCCTAGGTTTTCTCTATGACAAAATTTTTTTCTCCTATGACTTTCTTAAATGTACAATTTTAAAATGCCCTTTTCTCAAAAACAGAATTTTATTTACTTAAAAAAATTGTAGAGTATAAAAAGAACCAAGGTAAACAGAATCCTAACTGGATAAATCTGTGCCTCCTTCCACTACTCAACTAGCGAGTTACTCAACCATGTAACTCAACTACTTGAGTTACATGACTATTTCTTTATTGTTAATGCTTTATTTGCCCACTCAGAACTGAGCTACTAATTACTAAACTATTTCCTGCCCTGCAAGTCTAAACAAATGTTAAATGTAGTCATATTTTTATAAAATATTCCAAACCCAAGGAAAGACCACATAATTAGTTTTCGTTTCCAGCTGAAATTGTGACAACTACCACCTTCTTGTCTTCTCATCAGGCAACTTTCCATGTGAAAAGTTAAAATAGTCCACCTGAAATGTCTTTAACACCTGCTGAGTGTAATCCTAGCTACTCAGAAGGCTGAGATCTAAGGATCATGGTTCAAAGCCAATCCAGGCAGGAAAGTCCCTGTGAGACTGTTATCTCCAATTAACCACCCACAAGAAGTGGAGCCGTGGTTCAAATTGGTAGAGAGCTAACCTTGAGCAAAAAAGCTCAGGAACCGCGCCTAAGCCCTGAATTCTAGCCTCACAACCAATGAAAAAAAACAAAAACAAAAAAATAAATCCGCTATGTACCCAAAGACAATCATGAAAATAAAATATTAAAAGCCATATAAAATTAAAATCTCAAGCCATATTATTGAGTTTCAATATATACAAAAGGTCAGGCGCTGGTGTCTGATGCTTGTAATCATAGCTAATCAGAAGGCTGAGATCTGAGAGTCATAATTCAAAGCCAGGCCAGGCAGAAAAGGTCATGAGACTCTTAACTTCCATTTAACCAGCAAAAAAACAGACATAGAAGTATGCCTTAACTGGTAGAGCACCACCCTTGAGTAAGAACAGGTAAAAAAATAGTGCCCAGGCCCTTAATTGAAGCTCCAGTACCAGCACAAATGAACAAATATGTAAAAATATTAAATGACACATTTGTAATTTCCTATTGCCTCCCATAGTTTTGTGTTCCAAGCAGTCCTCACTGACATAAAAATGCCATAAAATGTTTAAAACAGAAGAGATAAGACAGCGTAACTACCAAAGTAAACCAGTGCTAAGTAGCATGGGCAGTTTACACACACACCTGCCTCTTACCTTCAGCGCATGCTTCAGCTCGTAGGCATCATAAAGCCGGGCAGGTTTCATCAGAGCCACAATTAATTTTTCAAACTTTCCAGTCAGCTCTGATTTCAGGTCGTCCAAAAGGTCCTAACTCCCAGAAAAAACAAATGTACTAAGGAGACACATTTCAAGGCGGAGTCCTCTTATACAACAAAGGCTCGTTCTTGGCTCTACCAGTAGTGGCAGCCTTTTCTTGAGCCAAGAGTCATTTCAATATTTATAACATCATAGTGGGCCCTAAAAATCACCAAGGCAGGCAGCCCAGGAGAAGCATAAACATCTGCCCCATCCCGTATAAAATGATTCTGTAGCTGTCTAGGGAATGCAAACCTGGCTCCCATCCATGCACCCCACAGCCAGGAGAATGTACTGCTGACCATGAGAGCCGCTTAAAGCATCAAGGTGTTTTATTAATGGTGCTTTTCTTTCAGAGTTAAAATCAAGTGCACAACTTTAATGGTTTTCTTTTTAAAATACTATTCTGAGACACAAACACATTTTTAAAAAAGAATCCTCAAAAATCACACTAAGTACTGCCAGGCACCCATGGTTCACGCCTTTAATCCTTACAATTCAGGAGGACTGAGCTCTGAGAATCAAGGTTCAAAACCAGCCCGAAGTCAGCCCAGAGAGGAACGATCATAAGTTCTTATCTCCAAATAACAACAGAAGCTGAAATAAAACTGTGGTTCAAATGCTAGAGCATTAGCTTTGAGGAAAGAATGCTCACAGTCAGTCAGCGCCAGCCCTGAGTTCAAGCTCCAGAACCAGCACAGAAAAAAAAAAAAATCACTAGGTACCTTCTCTCAAAATAACAAAATTTAGCCTATTTCATCTGACTATTTTTTCTCTTCAATAACTAAAAACAATATATTGTATAGTAGATTGTAGTCATTATTATGCTTTTCTGACTACTGAAAAATATAAGTATTATTCATATAATTCAGAAAAGGAAAATAGTACTAGAGGAGTAATACGAGATACAATATTTAGAATTTTCTTAGAAATGGGGGTCACAGCTCAGTGTAGAACACTTGCTTAACACACAAAAGGCTACGACTGACCCCCAATACCATGAAAAAAACATTTTTTTTGCTCTGCACCTTTTTCTCCATGAGTTGACAAACGTACATTTCAGGCACTGTAAGTCATCTGAGATGATTTCAAGGACACGGCATGGGCATGGAGAATGCAAACAGATTTTATATAAATATGAAATAAGAGACATGAGCGATCTTGATAATTTTGGTCTCCTGAGAATCCTGAAACCGGGCTGAGGGAGCAGGGTGGGGAGGGGAGGGGAGGAGACAGGCTCTTACCCGACCAAATAGTGTTTTGAAGGCCTCAGCGATTTCCTGGCGCTGAGCATTGCTTCTTGATGTCAGCAGAGTCAGGATGCTCTCCTCATCCGTGCCTGCGAAGGAGAATGAAACATCACAACCTGTCCCTTGCCAATGGCCATCTCTCCACAGCCCCCTACCTTTTACACTCTCCTGCTTCTACCTGTGAGAAAATAAACTGATGTCATCTGTTTGTACATTTATCAAATGTATAAACTGGCCAGGCACCGGTGGTTCAGGCCTGTAATCCTAGCTACTCAGGAGGCTCAGACCTAAGGATCGCGAGTCAAAGCCATCCCAGGCAGGCAAGTCTGAGAGACCTATCTCCAATTGGCCACCTGAAAACCGGAAATGGTGCTGTGGAGCACTAGCCTTGAGCAAACGAAGTGTAGAAGTGTAGGTACAGCACCCAGGCTCTGAGTTCAAGCCCTAGTCCCAACATACACACACACACACACACACAATTAAAAATAAGGAAAATAGCCGGGCGCTGGTGGCTCACGCCTGTAATCCTAGCTACTCAGGAGGCTGAGATCTGAGGATTGAGGTTCAAAGCCAGCCCGGGCAGGAGAGACCGTGAGACTCCTATCTCCAATAAACCACCAGAAAACCGGAAGTGGCGCTGTAGCTCAAGTGGTAGAGCGCTCGCCTTGAGCTGAAGAGCTGAGGGACAGCGCCCAGGCCCAGAGTTCAAGCCCCATGGCCGACAAAAAAAAAAAAAAAAAAATAAGGAAAATAATAAAAAGGACACTTAATTTACCCAGGCCTTTCATGGCCTTCCGGAGAGTTTCGGCATCAGCCCGATCATCAAATCCAGGGAAGTCACTCACGGTGCCTCTGAGAACCTAAGACCAGAAGCACAGAGGTGATATTGAAACCTTGATCAATGGGGCAAAGCAAATAACATGAAGAGCCATTCACTATATGCATCATGTTTGGCCTCTAAGTATATTCACCATTTGGTTTAAGATTTGTGAAGCACCCCCCTGAAATGGGAAGTGAACTACCAGTGGTATAATTAGCGCCAGCCTGGTGCACAGTGACAACACTTGGCGGGGGGGGGGGGGGGGGGGGGGGGGGGGGGGGTGTCGGAGAAGGGGGTTAGTGAAGGAGGAGTTGGCCCCTCTGCCCTCCTCTCTGCAGAGGACACCTCCCTGAGGGACCCCATTCATGACCTAGAAACTAACACTCAATCCCCTGCCAATCCTAAGCAAAGGTTTCATTCATGGTTTCATCCTAAGTCCTACTTTTGTACACTTGCTCAGGAACTTTAGGATAACTGAGTATGTCAGGCAGCAGTGGCTGGTCCTAGTTTCTCAAGTGGCGGAGATCTGAGAATCGTGGTTCAAAGCCCGCTCCACAGACAATTCCTCAAGACTCTTATCTCCAATTACCCAGCAAAAGACCAAAACTGGAACTGTTTCAAGTGCTGGAGTGCCAGCCATGAGAAGAAAAAAAAAGCTAAGCAACAGCTTCAGGCCTAAGTTCAAATCCCAGTACCAGTACCTGGGGAGGGGTGGGGAGAAATTATTCGGTAATTCATGTGCCAGAAGAAGGTATTAGAAGACATTCTTCTCCTCCTTTTTTTTTTGTCAATCGTGGAACTTGAACTCTGGTCCCTCAGCTCTTCAGCTCAAGGCTAGCGCTCTACCACTTGGGCCACGGTGCCACTTCTGGTTTTCTGTTGGTTAATTAAAGAGTCTCACAGACTTTCTTGCCTAGGCCGTATTTGAACCACGATCCTCAGATCTCAGCCTCCTGAATAGCTAGGATTACAGGCGTGAGCCACTGGTGCCCGGCTGGAAGACATTCTTCACACATTATTTTCCATGCAGGCAATACTTTTAATAATCACAAGGAAAAAGTCATGATTCCTTCCAAGTACCCACAGTTTACTCCTGTAATCCAAGCTAGTCAGGAGGCTTAGATCCAAGGATCAAGGTTGGAACTCAGCCCAGGTAGGTAAGTTTATGAGACTCTTCTCTCCAGTTAACCACCAAAAAGTGGTTCAAATGGTAGAACACCAGCCTGGAGAGAAAAAGAAAATCCTCCCAATGTCCAGGAAGTTGCCTTGCAACTTGGCAGCCAATATTCAAAAAGTAGACAAGTACAAGGTTTTGGGTTTTTTTTTTTAACATGCATAAAAGCAGGGGAGAATGAAATGGCCCAGTATTTGGGGTAAAGGGCTATATTTTAATAGAAAACCAGCAAGCAGGTTAAATAGAAAAACTAAAAGGGAAAGATCCCTGGAAGAGAAAAAACTGATTTTTTTTACTGTGCCAAAAAAGAGTAAGTTGATTTCCTTCACAGGTGGAGCAGGTCTGTGCTGCAGCTCTGATGCTGGATGAAAAGCAGATTCTCCTGGTGGAATATCTTTCAATTAATTTAAAGATAGGTTTTGCATGGTACACTTTCATAAACAGAGTCTGTTTAGGGGTTGGGGTGGATGATGGGAGGAGAGATAGCTAATGAAGAGGGGGAGGGAGGACGAACATGGTCAAAATAGTGCATTTGCACACATGAAAATAAACCAAGGAAACCTGCTGAAATTCTTTTAGCCAGCTAAATGTGGCTCAGACCTGTCATCCTAGCTACTCAGGAGGCTAAGATCTGAGGATCATGGTTTGAAGCCAAACCTAGGCAGGAAAAATCTATGAGGCTCTTATACCAATTAACTACCAAAAAAAGGTAGAAGTAGAGTTGTGGCTCAAGTGGTAGAGCACTATCCTTGAGGAAAAAAAACTAAAGCTCAGGGACAGAGCCTTGGACCTGAGTTCAAGCCCTGGATTAGTACAAAAGAAGAAAAAGAAAAAGAACACATGCGAAAATGTCACAGTGAAATGTCACAATGAAACACCTCCCCTGCGTAACTAATGAGTGTTACTAATAAGTAAACATCAATTTAAATATATAAAACACTTTAAAAGGGAAGCTTGATCTGGTTTGTAAGTCTAAAAAATTTGCTAGTAGACAAGGAGGAAAGAAGTTAATCAGGAAAGAAAAAAGAAGAGCACAAGGCATCTACCTCAAAGCAAAAAGATTAGTACCAGATACAGTGCTCATGCCTATAGTCCTAGCTACTTGGCAGATGAAGAGATCCAGAGGATCATGATTCAAACTAGCCCAGGTAAAACATTTGAGAGACCCCATCTAAACCAATAAAAAGCTAGGCAAAGTCGTGTGTGCCTGTCTTAGAGTTGCAAGGAAAACACAAATAGGAAAAACACAGTTCAGGCTGAGCCAGTCATCAACAAGAGACCCTATTCATCAAATAACTAAAAGCAAAGGGAGTGGGAACATGGTAGGAGTCTACCTAGAAAATATAGAATCTGAGTACAAACTCTAATACAGCTAAAATCTTATCTCAGGGACTAGAGCAACTGCAGTAAAAAGATGAAAAAGAAGAAAAATGTGCCCAGAAATCTCAACTGCTAACTATGAAGAAGAAATAGCCGCGAGGCATACAGTGAAGAACTTTCTAGAAATTGCAAAACTCTTTGGCTACATTCCATACACCCAGAGTCACTAGCAGCAAGGCCACACTGCAGGATTAGAGGTCAGACGTGAATCACAGACATGAGTCATAGGACAGCAGAGCCCATGTTTGCATGCCGGCCTCACCCCCTTCCTGCCCACACAAGGCCATCTGCCAGGGACTAAGTCATTCACTCAAGGGCTTCCCCTGTTTCCTGGGGTCCCCATTTAACTCCACCCTTTTCCCTTCCCCCTCCCTCAGTGTACCCCAATTCTTTTATTCCTCCCCTTACCTCAAGGCCTTCCTCCAGAGAACTCTGCATACACTTCAACAACACAGGGTCACATCACAGCACTCACTTTTTAACTCTCACCTTCATAACTATCCAACTCTGCAACAATATAATTTTCATGGCTTTTTTTCCTCCTTTAAATTAAGATGTTATTTTTATCCTTAAACACTAGGTATTCCCAAATTTAAATAGTGACATTAACAACAAGAAAAAGAAAAAAAAAGTCAGTGACTCCCACCTGCAATCCTAGCTACACAGGAGGCTAAGATCTGAGGGCTGTGGCTCAAAGCCAGCCCACAGAAAACCTGAAAGTGGATCTGTGACTCCAATGTTAAGAGTGTTATCCTTGAGCAGTGTCCAGGCTCTGAGTTCAAGCCCCAGGAACAGCATATACACACACACACACACGCGCACACACACACACACACACACACACACACACAGAAAACAAACCTATTTTTCTAGACACAGGATTTAAAGACAAAAGGAAATAATACATAAATAACAATGTAACTCTGTGACAGCTTTCCAATACCTCTCTATTCATTCCTATGTTTGGGTCTGCCTCCTTCTCCCTCTACAGCCTCCCTTTCTGAGGGAGGCAGGGGTGGGCGCTGCAAATCCTGTCCTTTTTCTCTCATGTCCCAACAACTACACCAGCTAAGCAACCTCATCTTCTTCTTCAACGAAACAGGAGTAGTAATACTTCCACAAGGCATTGTGGGCACTAAATAATGCATACAAAGGATCTGGCAAAGTATCTATTACATCAATGAATCTTGGTTCCACCCATTATTTTACTTTCCAGATCTAGCAAAACCTGGCACAGAAGGAGAAGGCAAAAGCTTCAGGCATTTAGGCATTCTTTTTTTCATGGCTTGCTTTCCTTTCACATTCAAATAAACTCCAGTTAACTTTAAAAAACAAAAACTATTAATTTTAAAACCAACCAACTTCTGGGTACTAGTAGCTCACATCTATAATCCTAGCTACTCCGGAGGCTGAGATCTGAGGATTATGGTTCAAAGCCAGCCCACGCAGAAAACTCTGATCTCCAATTAACCATCAAAAAGCTGGAAGTGGAAGTATGGTTCAATTGGTAGAGCTCTAACCTTGAGTGAAAAACAGCTCAGGGACAGTGCCTAGGCCCTGAGTTCAAACCTCAAGACCAGTAAAATAAATAAAATAACTGATGTATTTTGGAAAACACACTTATATCAGCCCGGCGCCGGTGGCTCACGCCTGTCTCCTCAGGAGGCTGAGATCTGAGGATGGCAGTTCAAAGCCAGCCCAGGCAGGAAAGTCCATGAGACTCTTATCTCCAATTAACCACCAGAAAACCAAAAGTGGTGCTGTGGTTCAAGCGGTAGAGCGCTCGTCTTGAGCTGAAGTGCGCAGGGACCAGCGCCCAAGCCCAGAGTTCAAGCCCCACGACCGACCAAAAAAAAAAAACCCACACACTTTATATTGTTTAGACCTTGGAAGTCATTAAAAGAAGAAACCCTCAGACAATCAATCCCTCAGGAACTCTGTTATCTGTGTAAGTTTTCCAAGCTTCACTGGATACAGGAATTAGGATCTGCTAAATGTCAATGAATGATTTAGTGGCTTGCAAAGCAGCCAGTCCATTTGTGTCTCTTTCCTTGCCAGCATCCAAAATAAAGAAGACAAGAGTCAAATGCATCAGGAACTGATCCGGACTAACTCAGAACACCACAGACCCAGAGACAACTAGGTAACTTTGACCTTAGTCCCCAAGACCAGCGAAGTCCCCAAGAGAAGGGATCCCAAAAGTGAAATGGTATCCAGTCAGCTAATAAATCTCATCCCAAACTACTTATTTATATTTATATTGAGCCTGCTGTTCTGAACAGGGTCTTGTAAAGTCTTGTAGGATGCAACAAATCTGGGATGCAACAAATCTGAACCAAATCAATATAAGCCCTAATCAAGCCTTGTACAGTTCAAATCTGTATCACAGCTATAGCTCTGATATTCATGAACAATAGTGTTAGCACAGGCTTCACCTTACAACATTTCTGCTACCATGACCACATGATAGTTTCAAAAACAAAATCTCATGTGTGAAGTTTGAGTGAAAGATGAAAGTCACAAACCCAAAAGTTGAAATAAGATACATTCCAGGAATCCAGGTGCATGCCACATGCAGGCTCATGCCAGCAATCCTAGCTATTCACAAGGCTGAAATAAGAGGATCTCAGATCTGAGGATCTCAGCCAAACAAAACAAGCCCACAAACAATATTTAAATAAATTGGAGTATACATAGAATAATGTGGCACAACCTACAAAAAAGAGAAACAAGCATAAGTCAAGAAAGTTTTTTTTTTTAAGTTCAGAATTCAGTTTTAAAAATCCAACCGAAGCCAGGTTACAAGCTCATGCCTGTAATACTAGTTATTCAGAAGGCTGAAATCTGAAGATCCTGGTTCAAAAGCCAGCCCAGACAGGAAAGTCCATGAGATTTTTATCTCCAATTCACCAAAAAAAAGAGAACAGAAATGGAGCTATGGCTCAAGTAATAGAGTGCTAACCCTGAGCAAAACAGCTCAAGGACAGAACTCAACCCCTGAGTTCAAGCCCCACCCAGTACCAACACACACACACACACAAATGTCCAACCCAAAATATGTTAAAAATGGAAGTAATTTCTACGTAGTAGGTATCTAAGAAGTTAAGTATGATTTAGGAATATTTCATATTTGCATAATAAGAATACTGTAGAAATAGATAAGAGCATTGAGAAATAGTTCATCTTGAACAACTCCTTGTTTAGTCTGAGTAAAAAATAGATGGTGAATACCTAAAATCTCAGCATTAAGGAGGCTGGGGAAGGATTGCCTGCTCATTTAAAAAAAAAAAAAAAAACTCTTAGAGGAGGGAAGGAGGAAACACCAAAGTATCTATCACAGATAGAGCAATTATTTTCTTAAGTTTGTAGCAACAAAGTCACACCAAAGATCTGCCTATATAACCAGCCTGTGGAGTTTTTGTTTTGCTTTTTGAGATGGGGTCTCACTGCTCTGGCTTGTCTGAATTTACTATACAGCCAAGCTGGCCTCCCATTCACTATTCTCAAACCTCTACCTCCCAAATTGTTGGATTACATGGTTATATAATAACAACAGTCACAAAACTTAATTTTGAAATATACTGGAGTATTTAATAATCCTGCTTTCTGTATTTTTTGTATATAATGTTACGAGCAAGAGGGGTCCCAACCTAAGTAAAAAGAAGAAATTGTTGCTATGGAAGATGTAGTTGATAAAGATTTACTGTGATGGGAAACTACATTTTAATTTTCCAGTAAGTAAGAGACAATATGTATACAGTATACTTTCATTCTGATCCCATCCAAGGAGCGGAAGTCTCTGGCTCTTTATCCCACAGATGTTTTCCAAGAAACCATCTGAATCAAACCCTAAAGCTCCAGCTGTCCTACCATTACATGGAGGTCTAAAGCAAATTTCAGGCATTAAAAATACAGTTACAGAATGTGACCAAAATGTAAATATAAAGATAACAAAATCGCATTTTAATTTTAAATACTTTACAAACTAGTAACAAAGCTATGGCAAAATGCAACACCATATCTTCTCTTAATACTACTTGTTGCTTTAATGATAACTCAAAAAAATGGGTCTTTGAAGCCTAGCACTAGTGGTTCACGCCTGTAATCCACGTTACTCAGGAGGCTGAGATCTAGGATGGTGGTTCAAACTAACCTGGGCAGGAAGGTCTTTGAGACTCTAATCTCCAATTAACCACCAAAAAAGCCATAAGAAGGGCTGTGGCTCATGTGGTATAATGCTAACCTTGAGCAAAAGAAGCTCAGGAACAGAGTCCAGGCCCTGAGTTCAGGCTCCAGTACCAGCACTGCCACCCCTCCCCCCCAAAAAAGCTGGTCTTGACAGAAAAACAATACTTGAGCCTGCACACGTGCTCAGGAGACTAAGACCTGAGGATCACATTTGAAAACCAGTCTGTACAGACAAATCCAAAACACTCTTACCTCCAATTAACTGGCAAAAAGCTGGAAGTAAAGAAGTGGCTAAAGTGGTAAACCTTGGTCAAAAAAGCTTAGAGACAGCACTTAGGCCCTGAGTTCAAGCCCCAGTAACAGAACAAAAATAACTAAAACAATCCTTTTGTTACATTATGAGAGAGTTATGTGCTAATTTTATAATACAAGCCACCATGTTCCCAGTTTTACATACACAAAGGGTCACTACACTATTATCATTCTTTGAAAATATCAAAAGTAATGTCCACCAATGGAAAAATATATTCATTTATTCTCTGTTGAATGGGAAACTTCTAAGAGACTGGAGACACAGCCAAATGAGTAAGGATAAAGGAGACTTCCCAGAGGATTACCAAATTGCCCCAAATATCACCACAGTATCATACATAACCACACCGTATCATATTAAGATAAGAAAGAGATACCTCGGGAAAGGAGAGTTAATTACACAGTAAAAAGTCCCCTTTCCATGAGGAAGAACGTAAATCAACAAACGTTCCACCTGAAGTAACAGGAGAACTGCCTGACTCTAACGTTTAAGACAACACAGAAGAATGGGAGGACTGTGTAAATGTAGTAATGACCCAGCCCTCCCTTTTCTTCTTGGAAAGGACCAGGAAACCTTATTCCACTTCCCTAAATCAGTCTGATGACAGGGGAACCACACATGAGAGCCGGAGTTGTTTGAGAAGCTGAAACACTTGTTTAAGGAGTATTATCAGGCGCTGACAAGCAGTCAGACTGACCGGATGTGCCAAGTATGTAACCTCTAAGAGCTGCTGTCTTAAATCACAGAAGACTTTATGACATTGATTTTGTACATTTAGAACTTTTTTAAAGGCTATTATGTAAATTGAACTGTTTTTTTTCTTTCCTAGACTGTTTCTTTTTTTTTTTAATCAGTACTGAAGTCTGAACTCAGAGACTTGTGCTTGCATTCTGTGTCCTGAGCCCTTTTTTGCTTTCGTTGATTTTCCAAGGGTCTCTTATGTAAGTCCAGGCCAGTGTGGACCATGAGCCACAGCTAATGATCACAGAGGCACACACCACACCCAGCTTGGTTGACATGCAGGGTCTCACAACCTTCTGCCAGAGGTTGGTCTCTTAACTATGAACCTCTGGATCTCTACACCTCCACACCTCCCAACTAGCTAGAATTGCAGACCTGAGCCCAGCTCGGTGATTCAATGATCATTCTACAGGATTGACAAATAATAAGGTGTGTGTGTGCTGGGGGGGGGGGGGGGAGAGAAAGGGGGAGCTTCTATTAAGTAATCAACTTCTGAAACAGTCCCAAGGCAAATTCAATTTAAAACTCGTTCCACAAGTCCAATATTTCAGAAAAACAGCTCTTCAGCTTAAATTTCAGTGTGGTAAGAAAAATAAAAATAAAAATAAATCAGTGCTGATGAACAGTTAGTTCCCCTTATGGACCCTTGGCTGAGCCACAAGGAAAGCTCCACGGACTGTTCTGGAAAAAGCCAAACCCACCCACAGTATCAAAATACAGGAAACTTGAAAAAAAAAAAAAAAAGGAAGCCAAGAAAGAAAAAGCTAGGAGGAGTTTGCCTCACGTGACCACGATGAGCTGTTCTGGGTCTGGTTCTAATTTTAGCGGCTCTTTGGATTTGAGGGAGCCCCGCAATACAGTCACTCGAGAACAAGGGGAGCCCCCAAAGTCGGCCTCGTCGCGGGTGCGCGCGTCCGGGCGGGGTCTGGGGACCCTGGGGAGGAGGGGGACCCGAGCCGGGGTGGGCAGGAGCCGAGGGCGGGGTCCCCGAGGCAGGCTGGCTCCGCTCCGGAACGTTCCCGGCGCTTGGGTCCGGGCCAGGCGCCCCTGTCCAGGCCCCTGCGCGGTGGCGGACACGAGCGGCCCGGCCGCTGCCTTACCTGGGCCATGGCGATTCCGAGGGTCAGGAGAGGGCGATGCGGCTGCAAAAGAGGGGGGCGGGAGGGTGCAGGTTAAGAGGGGCTCGGGGTCCCCGCCCCGGACCGCGCGAGCCCCCCCCCGAAGTGCACCGAGTCCTCAGGAGCGCCGACCGCCTCCCAGAAGTGCACGGATCCCCCAAGGGCGCCCCGACCCCCCCAAAAGTGCACCGAGCCCTCAGGAGCTCGCCGACCACTCCTGGGGCGTGCCGAGCCCCTCCCCTGGACCACTCCGACCCCCCAAGAGCGCAGGACTCCCCCGAAGTGCACAGATCACCCCGGGGGCGCAGGCGCACCGACCCCCCAGAGGCGCACCGACCTCCGCGCCCGCCCCACCGCCCGACGCGCCACCCGCCGACGCGCCACCCGCCGACGCGCCCGGGGCTCCGCTCCGGAGACCGAACCCCGCCGGGCGACGCCCCGCTGGGTGCGGTTCCCCCCGCCGCCCTCGTCCGGGAAGCCCGGACCCCCGGCTCGCGGGACACTCACCAAATCCAAGAAGCCAAGTGCCCGATCTCTCCGGGTGGCGTCAAGCGCGGCGCGGGACGGCGGCGGCGGCCGGGCTCAGGTGCTCACGCCCAGAATGTGGCAGCAGCTCCCGCTGGCTCTGAGCAACGGAATCGCCTCGGCCCGGCCACGCCTCCGTCGTGGCCACGCCCCGCAGACCTGCCACGCCCCCTGCCCTGCCTCGTCCCGCCACTCCCGAGCGTGGCCCGGGCCTGGCCCCGCCCCTCCCCGGCATGGCTCCGCCCCCCTCGGCCTATGTCTCGACGCGCCTGCGTGGGACGAGGTCTGCCACGTCTGTCTGTCTCCGCAGTCCCGCGGACGTGGGTGGGGCTCGGGGGTCCGGGGTTCTCCCTTGGCAGACAGGACCTGGGCGGCTACGCTCGGAAAATCAGTGACTGTCCCACACACACCCCGGGGCTTATCCTTTCGGAGAGGAGCCAGCCACACAGCTAAGGACAGCAAAGCCGGGAGCTTTGTACTTTGCTAAGTTCTTGTTATTATTAGCTTTCATCGGTTACACGGAGGGGGACCTCATCGTTGCGTTTCCACTCGTGTTTACCGCATGTTCCAGACATCCTCACCCCCTCTGTCACTCTCCCTTCCCCTCCCCCCCTTTCCAAAATACATCACCACGTTTTCTTGTCCAAATCTATTGACCATATTCATAATCCCTCAAGATGCATTCCAAAGTTCTTCACTTTCTATTATTCTTGTTTCTTCCCCCTTCCCTTTCTCCTCCTAAATAGTCTCTTAGATTCATGGTGTGTTTATCCATATATATATATATATATATATATATATATATATAGTTACGTAAATTGCTATATGTATGTACCTATTCGTGAATATGTATGACGGGAAAAATTAAGAGAGAGCTCAAGGTCCTGAGTTCAAGCCCTAATCTGGACACTAAATAAATAAGTGGTTCCCAAGGAGAAATAGCTGACGTTTCACTTTGATTGCTGTGGCATTTTAATTAGGTTTTGAAGGACAATGAGGGAGAAAGAGGTGAGTGGAGAGGAGAGTACTTTTGTGTGTAAGTGGTTGACCTTTCTAAAACGGCTGGAATGGAAGGTACCAGAACAGGACTCTCCTCATGAAGACTGCCTTCAGAGGCGTATTTTACTGATGCATTTGGTGCCACCGTTGTTATTTATAACTGCTGGATGGTGTACATAATGTGCACCTGCGCAATCTTTTACTGCCTACTAAGAACAAGCTTCTACCATTCATTCCCCAGAAGCCCTAAGAAGTATCCTGCGGTTATCTTGAGATTCCCACCAGGTTTTCCAGTCACTCTCCTACTCAAACATGCCTTCCTGTGCATCTAAAACAGAAGCTCTTCTTTCTCAATGTATTATATTTTGTTCATTGTATTTCATACAAATTTGTTGGTTTCTTTTCCTACTTAGGAGCATAAATAATGCCTATTTTAAATGAGACAAATGACATTTTTCTTATGCCTGAATGTGTGTCTGTGTGTGTGTGTGTGAGAGAGAGAGAGAGAGAGAGAGAGAGAGAGAGAGAGAGAGAGAGAGGTTTTAACTCTGGGCCCTCTGGGGTTTTAACTTGCTAGACAAACATGGTATCACATGAGCCATTTCACTAGCCCTTTTTTACATTCATTATTTTTTTCAGGTGGAGTTTTTGCTTTTTCCTGGGGCTGGCATGGAACTGTGATCCTCTTGCTTCTCCCTCCTTCAAAGTTGGGTTTATTGGCATGCACAACATTCTTAACTTTTTTTTCAGAGTGTGTCACTAACATTTTTAGCATGGGCTAGCCTCAAGCCAAAACCCTCCTAAATAAATAGGATGACAAGAACGTGCCACCATGCTTGTTGCTGCATTCTTTTTTTTTTTAAGGTGCTGTACAGAGGAGTTACAGTTACATAAGTAAGTTAATGAGTACATTTCTTGTCGAATATTGTTACCAGCTCCTTTGGGTTTTTCTCCCACTATCCTTCCACACTTCTCCCCCCAACTCCCCACCTCCTGAAGTTGTAAACTTCATTTCCAACATGGTGTCTTGTGAGTATCGTTGTTGCATTGGGTCAGCCTTTGTCCTTGTTTAGCTATTTTGTTATTCCCCTTCCCTTCCCCAAATCAGATAAGCATATATACAAGACACTGGGTACTAGAAACAAAAACAGTGTCTACCAGGGATAAACCAAAGGGAAAAAGAATTTAAAAAAATAAAAAGAGAGAATGTGACACACTGATGACAACAAGGTCAACAACAAAAAAAATGACCTCTTGTTTCCATATCTTGGAGTTCATTTCAATTAACATCATTTTATATGGTCATATGTACATAGCTATTGAGCTATTGTGATCCTCTGCTAGGACTTAGACATATAATAATTGTATCAAATGAGGGAAACAATGGAGCCTATGTTTCTTTGGGTCTGGCTTACTTCACTTAATATAATTTTTTCCAAGTCTTTCCATTTCCTTATGAATATGGAAATGTCATTCTTTCTGATGGAGGCATAGAATTCCATTGTGTATACATACCATATTTTTGAGGGGCATCTGGGTTGGTACCATATATTAGGTATGGTAAATAATGCTGCAATGAACATAGTTGTGCTAGTAGCTTTAGTGTGCACTTGCTTGTGATCATTTGGGTAAATGCCCAGAGCTGGATTGCTGGGTCATAGAGGAGTTCTATGTTTAATCTTTTGAGGAACCTCCACATGCTTTCCAGACTGATTGAACCAGCTTACATTCCCACCAACACTACCACAGTGTGGTAGTGTTCCCTTTTGGTCACATCTCTCCAGCATCTGTTATTATTTGTTTTCTTGATAATGGCCATTCTAACTGGGATGAGGTGGAATCTCATTGTGGTTTTGATTTGCATGTCTTTTATGGCTACATTGTATTTCTTTTATGGCATTTCTTTTATGGCCACATTTCTTCATGTGTCGATTGACCATTCTTATTTCCTCTCCAGAGAAGTCTCTTTTTAATTCTTTTAATTGGGACAATATAATATATCTCCTATCAGACAACTGATTTACAAACACACACGTGTGTGTGTGTGTGTGTGTGTGTGTGTGTGTGTATGTGAGAGAGAGAGAGTGAGAGAGAGAGAGAGAGATACTCAGGATTGAATGCAGGGCCTCATGCTGGTTAGTCAGGTACTCTACCACTGAGCCCTATCTCTAGCCCAACAAACACACTTTTGAAACTATTTGTAAACTCAGGGATTACAATTGTTTGGATTACTCAGAAACTAGCCCATTATTCCATACAAGTCATTGAACAATGTTGGGTTGCAGCTTCTCCATAGCTCAGCTTGAATACATTAATTGTTGCTTCAAATGGATCAATTCATAAAGAGGGGAAATTTAATTTTAGACTTTGTGTAAGCAAGTACAAAACAACTTGTCTTTAACTTGAGAGGTGTTAGAGTCTTCATTTTAAAACAGTATAAAACTAGCATTGTACTCAAGCTGATATGTTGAGTTGAAACCCCAGTGTATATCTATTTAAAGATACTAAAAAAATAATAAGATCAAATAAAAAATAAAAACACTGCTGTGCATCAGTGGCTCACCCTGCAATCTAAGCTGCTCAGGAGGCTGAGATTTGAAGATCCTGGTTCAAAGCCAGCTAGGGTTAGAAAGTCTGTGAGAGCTTCTCTCCACTTAACCAGCAAAAAACTGAAAGGGAGCTGTAATTTCAAGTGTTAGAGCTCCAGCCTTGAGCACAAAAGCTCAGACGCAGTGCCCAGGCCCTGTGTTCAAGCCTCAAGACCCAGTTCAACATGGAAAGTTTAAGACCAAGGCCTGGCAGGTTCAGGCTCTGGTGCAGGCCTACTTTCTCATGGTACCTGCTCATTGCCACTTCACAGGGCCTTGGCAGCTGAATAGCTCTGTGGGCTCTCTTTTAAGAGCACTCATCTGTCATGAGGTGAAATCTTCATAATTTGTCTTCCCAAACACCTTCTCTCTTAATATTATCAGCTTGACAGCTAAAGTTTCAACATCACATTTTGGATTTGGGAGGGGCAGGTCCGGTTGTAGCAACAGGCCCATTTACAGAGCTTTGCTCTGATTCATAGTGCTAATGACTCCCTTACGGAGATCCATGTGCTTGCTGAGAAATTAAAAGCAAATATGCTAACATGAGATGCGCTTTCACTGTTTTTATTCAAATGTGTATTGATCCAATAAAATGCAAATCAGTCTTCTCAACAGAACAACAACAGAACACTGGAATGTGGATCCTGGAAAAATGGTTATAATATTTCATAGGAATCTTTTAGATGTAATGTTGTAGGCTTGATTAAAATTCTCAAAACTAGAGCTGGGGCCTAGTACCAGTGTCTCACACCTGTAATCCTAGCTATTCAGGAGGCTGAGATCTGAGGATCTTGGTTCAAAGCCAGCAAAGTCTGAGAGACTCTTATCTTCTATTAACTACAAAAACAAAACAAAACAAAAAAATGGAAAAGAGCTAGGCACGAGTGGCTCACGCCTGTACCCCTAGCTATTCAGGAAGCTGAGATCCAAGGATTGAGGTTTGAAGACAGCCCAGGCAGGAAAGTAAGGTTCTTATCTGTGTTTAATCACAGAAAAAGCTGGAAGTGGAGCTGCTGCTGTCTAAGTGGTAGAGGGCTAGCCTTGAGCAAAAGTAGTTCAGGGACAGTGCTTAGGCCCTGAGCTCAAGCCCCAACACTGGTGTGTGCACACACACACACACACACATAACTCATCTCAAAAGCTAAGTGAAAGAAGCAATAAAATACTATGTACTTATAGAAGGGCAGGCATTGATCCCTCTTGCTTGTGGTGAATCCACAGTACCTAATACAGTGCCTCAAGCTTAGTAACTGCTTTTTAAAAGTTATGAATGACTGAGTGAATGAATGAATGAATTTTCTGTAGACTAGTTTGGGGGGGTTGCAGTGGGGTTGTGTCTGTACTAGGGGTTGAACTCCGGGATTCACTTATCTGAAAGCACACTGTCTGCCACAGCTACAAGGACAACTACAAAGACATTACAAATACAAAAAATACTCTCATATCCACCTGTATTAAATCCCAAACTCCCATGCAGTCCCTCCACAGTGATGATTAA